GGATATCAATTTGAAGTACGAACAGACAATAAATCCAAAACTTTATATGTATAGTGATGCTTCATATGCAGATTCATTGGACACTAGAAGATCAACGAGTGGGTATGTAGGATTTTATGGAAATGCTGCTTTTACATGGACCACCAAAAGGCAACAAAGTGTAGCTGTTTCCACAACGGAATCTGAATATATGGCCCTGTCTTTATCAAGTCGACAACTAATCTGGATGGCCCATGTGCTTAAAGATTTAAAACGTAAGCATAGGCCTATGATATTGTGTGATAATCAAGCCTCTATACATATAGCATCCAACCCAGTTTTACACCAGCGAAGCAAGCATATAGATGTTCATTACCATTATGTAAGAAAGAGGTTCATGGACAATACAATAGATATCCAGTATGTCTCAACTAAAGAAAATATAGCAGATATGCTAACGAAGCCAATTGGCAAGGAACTATAAATATTTTCTCAAGAAATTTACAAAAATCATCACTGAGGGAGAGTGTTGAGTATGCAGCTCTGATTTTATCTAATTTTTTATTTACACTTACTTGTTGACTATATTGTATAACTAGATGGTTAGATTTTTTTTATAAAAGGTTGTCAGTTTTTGATTAAATAAAATAAAAAGTCAGAACCAATATATTTTATTCCAAAATATTCAAAATATATAAGCAACAAAAACAAAACTTCCATTCATCCTATAGTTGGCATTTGACATAACAACTGTCAACATACGTGACAGTTTTGACAATTGACAGTCCATCTAAAATTTAGTACAATTTAGTACATTTTTCTCGAATTTTCTAGTACATTTCTAAATATCTCCGCGGCAGCCCTGCTAGGCGTAGTTGAGCATACTGTATGGGAGCTAACGCGAATGAGCGCGAAGGCACTTCGTCTTCCTTTGCTGCGTGCCGTTTTATCGACAAGACTACTGGGGACCTATTTTCAAATCGTGTGAGTACTCATTTCTCTCAAGATTCTCATCAGAAATGTCATACGTCAATGTGGAAACGCTGTTTTTAAAGGCCTCGAGCATTAAAATTCTTAGGAGGATATTAATTATCTCTAAATAAACCGTGAGAAACAATCAGTGAGTTTACACTGGCCCTTAGGACCCTAAAAATACTGTTTTACGTTGACGTATGACATTTCTCTCGAGAGAAATGAATTCTCTCGACTTTGAAAATAGCACCCCGGATAGCAAGCGAATGCCGAAGAATAGGCGTAGTTGAGCTCCTACACACTACGCGGAGGACCGCGTATGCCGAATATTCGCGAATTACACGCATTGTCTGGGGCCGGCTTAAGTGACGGTGTTTAGTTTTATTGGTTTGTAGATGAAGTAAAATAATATTTAGATGGTTCAAACGACAAACACTTTATTTTGAAGGAAATAATACGTGGAAAAGTAAGAAAATCAACGATTGTAACTAATAAGCGGTAAGTACCTATCTTTACTTTAAATTATTGAAAACGTTATAAGAACGTGATAATAAATTTTTTAAGGTTAAAAAATATTACTTTTTACTCATCAAAGGTATGTTTTTAATGTCATTTCAAACAAAATGTAAAGTCCTTGATGTGCAAATATGAAAGTATCAATTTATAACTGATAAATCTCTCAAGTTTAATTTCTTTTTTAGGTTATTTGTGAGTTTGTCAAGTTATTTGTTGATTTAATCTCTATAATGGGGAATATTAAATTAGGTATGTTATTTATGTTCAACTAAATTAATGGTTAGTTTGAGACATTTATCATGAAATGGGTTAATATCGAATAAATAATATAGACATTTTAAAATAAAAATAAAAGATTACAGTTATTATGGCTCATTTTCGTCTGTTACCAGTTCGTATTTTTTTTAAGTTTTTAATCACTTCCACAGAACACTTACTCTTAGAACGGTATCTCCCATGTTAAAAAAGGATGATAGAATTTTCAGCGTCACCATGCGGACGTGGTTGATTTTTTTCAATTAAGTTCTTGTCTGGTAAGAGGCCATATGAAAGAAGAGAAAATAATAAAAAGAAGAAGAAAAAAAAAAGCGCGGGGCTATTCAAATTTGACAGTAAAAATTATCCGCATTAAAAACTGTTAGCCAAATTAAGATTTGTTCACACAAACTGCATTTTTGCTTTATTATAGCGATATAGATAAAAAACAAGCATACTCAAAAAATTAATTTATTAAAGAATATATGTAATACAAATCCAATATTTAAAAAATGTAATGTATATGAAAATTGTATTATGTATGAAGTAGCTGGATGGCTGCTACATATTCCAGGATACAACACTGTCCATGATTTTGTTAAGAACTTTATCTGTGAAAAAAGAAAGATAGTATAAGTACAATCTCATTAAAATAAATGGATTAATAAAAAATTATAAGTCCGAGGAATACTTTATTTTTTAAAAAGTCCAACATCTACGATACAGCTTTGCAACCCCGAACGTCATGAAACAGAAAATACACAGTATATGTCGCGTTTAAGAATCCACATCGGATGCATCTGAGATGTAGTAAATCTTTGATCACGTGATTCAGTATACGTAAATGTAATGGGACAGATGTGTCCGATGTGGATAAAAAAATGCATCCTAATGTGGATTCTCAAACGCGGCAATAAGTATAAAATAAATGAGTAGAGTACTAACTTTCCTTCTCGAAAAGAAGTCCAACATATTAGTCTGCTTCTTCTTCGACGATATAGCTTGGCAACCCCAAACGTCATGAAACAGAAAATACACAGTATAAGTATAAAATAAATGAGTAGATTACTAACTTTCCTTCTCGAAGAGAAGTCCAACATACATTATTAGTCTGCTTCTTATTCTACGATACAGCTTGGCAACCCCAAATGTCATGAAACAGAAAATACACAGTATAAGTATAAAATAAATGAGAAGAGTACTAACTTTCCTTCTCGAAAAGAAGTCCAACATATATTATTAGTCTGCTTCTTCTTCGAACCTTTACTTGAAGTAGAAGGTGTTTGATCAACATATTCAATTTCTACGTTATTTGAGGGAAGTCCATCCGCTACTCTTCCAGGAACTGCTGGGTGGAATAGCGTTGAAAATGCTTCAGGTGTTAGACCTCGACGAGAGCCAACTACTTTATAATTCTCTTCAAAATGTTTATGACATACTACAAAGGTGGAATAAATTTTTAGTCTTGTTTTATTATTAAATCTTGGACAACGAACAGCAAGTGCCCAAATATCAAATAAATCGGGTGAATTCGTAGGGTGGGGCAGGGATGCATCTTGTTGTCCACATCAAGGCAATTCGGTACACAACATTTTCTATAATTACGCATCTTTATGGAAAAGCGCAAAATAACAGCGGAAAAAGCACAAGATAACAGCTCAAAAAGCACAAATTTATAATGGAAAAACAAGCTTAAGAACAGTGGTCAACTAAATCAATTAAGCAAATTGGAAATGAAAACACAACTGAATACAACCAAGTCACTAATAAAACTAAACGTTTTATTTTTTTATGTAAATAAACAACGTTCTCGTTTGGCGCCATGACACCCCCCACAAAAATCAATATTCACCTTTCCTTTATACTCCCACCACCCACCCCACCACACGACTGCAGCGCCACCATGCGGACGTGGTTGATTTTTGCTCTATCCCAGGCCTGCGCATACCAGTTTCCCACCCCTGATCACTTCCTCGTAATTTCTTATTTTGCTTATATTTTCCAGGTCCGTGATAGTCAAATATTGGGTTTCATGTCTCGTGCTGCTAATGATGGATCTAACAAATCACCATAATTTGGGGAGATAATCATTCAAACACCATTTATATTGATTTTTTTTAAACCGTTCAAAACCCGGTCCAAAACATGGCTGTCATTCTCAAAGGTGAGTTGATTTATTCTTTCGTTTTTATTGTTTTTGAATAGGACTTTCTTAGGCAACTGCCCAGAATTGACTCTCCTCCAATTTTGCGGAAATTGCTTTTTATAAACCTCAAAATCATGGCCTCCTAAGGATTAAAATTTCTTGTTTTGTTGCTGTCATAGCCATGTACGAGGATCACATTTTAAGTTGTTTTTTTACTATTTTCATGTTTTTAAGGAAATTCACTATTTTTTATGTAATCACTCGCGAAATTATTAATAAAACACTAATAAACCTAATTACAAACTTATTACTACCTTAAAATTATATTTACAAACATTTATGTTGCAACATTTTCAATAATTATTGATTTGTAATTTCATCATTTAAATTGTTTTTTGAGTTAAATTAGATCGATTCAAGATCTGAAATGTTGTAAAAACTATCTACTAATGATAAGGTTCCCTCTGGATACACATATCTTTTTATAAATATTTAATTAGTATGAATTTTCAGGTTTGGAGTTGGAGCATGCATCACCCGTTTATTTCACCCCCAGTGAAATAGTTAGAACCCCTGAAGTTCTACTTTGTGTGCCAGTTTGATGAGGAAGAACTACTTTACCTATTTCAAGTTACAATATTTTTGAAACTATGAATTAAATAGTGTATAATAATGTGTGAAGTCATATCGAGGTATCTGCGACCAATTTTGTAAGTAATCTAAAGTTGAATTTACTTGAAATCCTAATATTTTGTTATTTTCTGAGACTGTTTCAAAGTCTAATCTATTTAAATTTTAATCTTGGTTCTAGTCAAGTTAGTTTCTTTTTATTATAAATTTTATTGATTGAGTTACGTTTTATTGTTTATTAAAATAACATTTTTATTATTGTTACTCGTCTAAATTATTTACAAGTACTAGAAATTATTATTTATGTTTATGTACGGAGTATTATCCGTTACAATATATATCATATATGTCGGTTTAAGAGTTTTAGCATGAGAGTTACAATTAAATACATGTAAATTGCAGATTAAATTATTTATGAACTACAAGTATTTAAGTATATGTGTTAGGTGTAGTGGGTTACAATTCTTTTAATATTTATAGTTAGTTAACTGTACCATAGTGATGTTCGTTGTAAAGAACACCTGTTGGGTTGTGACGTCATTAATTTTTATGACTTATATTTAACTATAGTTCTCATTTAATGCTAGCTATAGTTATTTCCACTATGTAGATTTCAGTTATTATCCAGTGTTTCTTTTTACACTTAGTTAACTGTAGATTTTTCTCCCAGAGATGGATGTAAGGGTTAAATTAAAAGTACATAATATATGAGTTTGAAGATCCCGACATTTATGAAATTTATGTGCTAGCTGGTTAATAACCGTTTCTTTAGCCACCGAAGTTACTGAAGAGATGAGTTCAACCTATGTCAAACAAGAACCGTCACAATTTGAAAGTCACCAAAAGGTCTATCTACCTTGTCTACTAAAAATACATCCAATTGAATTCTGCTAGTTTTATTTTCTTTTTACCAATAAGTTGATTTATTTTGACTATTTATTTAGAAATTAGTCAATTTTTGGTAATTTGGTGTCTGATATGCACAGCTAGGAGGTGTTCGCCATACAAACTAAATCTGGCACCACTTGTAGAACTTTCTATTTATTGTACTACTCCCTCCTCCGACTTAAGTTATCGCGATGAATATGAATACCCAATTGTCACCAGGATAATTGGACTCATAAGAGGAAGTGAATTTTAAGGCGTATTATCTTTTTGTTTACTTTTTTACTATGTAATGAAAATAAAAGTTTTTAATTTTTTATAGTACGTTTTTATTAATTAAATAGGCACATACTACTTTTAATATGTATCAAACTTTCCTGTTCCATATTTTGAATAAATTCTATTCCAGTCAGAATACTTTTTTGGTCCTTTCTTTACAGATAATTCTGAATTAATATCTAAGTATACTAAGTCTTCCCCAGCAACTTTCGGCCATTTTAAATCTCCTAGTACTTCAGATTTATCAGCAGTAGGATTCCTAAAATTAAAAATTATTTATAAACAAAAATGTAACCCAATTTTAATAAAAACTGGAAATTGAGACCCAAAAATGTATATCTGTCTCAAAATGTAGTTAATAAAAATAGAAGGAATTATAATTATTGTGAAACAGAAGAATACATAATAATAAAATGTACATTAAATAACAAAACTTTTATTATCAAATATCATTAAATAAGTAATATGGATCCATATTGTAGTAACGTTAGTGACAGGGGACGTTCTACACTAGTGATGGGCAATTCGAATGCAAAATCATTCGAATATTCGAATTATTACTATCATTCGAAATGTCTCGAATTACCTAGAAATGATTCGAAACATTTTAGACTTTTCAGGCTATTCAACAACTAGTGTAAATCGGCGAATCAACATTATTATTTTTTTAATTTAAAGGCCTCAACTGCCAAAATCATTCGGCATAATTCAAATCATTTTGTAGAATTTATAAAATAAATATAGAAATACAAATATTTTTTTTTCCAAACTATAATTAGCTTTTTTAAAACATCCTATTAGTGTTTTTTTTTAATAGTACCGCTTTATGCATCCGATTCAAATACTGAAGTAAATTTGTAGTATTGCCAAAATATTTAAAAGTTTTCTTACAAATATTACATTGTAGCTTGTTTTTCTTCAGTTTTTGAAAATATTCCCAAACTTCGGACTTTAACGGAGGAACCATCTTTTCTAATTAAATGTTATCGTTATCTAAATTTTCAATATAAAACAGAACCAAAATCAAACATAAATAACCAAATATTTTCTTTTTTTTTACCTCTAAATACAAATGTAAATAAGAAGAAGAGAATTCGAATGATCATTCGATTATTTATGTTTTTATCATTCGAATACGAAATTCATTCGATTATGCCCATCACTATTCTACACATGAGAACAGATCACATAATTAAGCGTTATTTCCTCAACACTTCATTCAATTTTAATACCAAACAGAACGAAGATTATCATAAGGTAACTCAGTGATCAACGATAGGAGCAAACCTGGTACACAGAAGGCTCGAAGACTACAGAAGGCTCTGGTGCTGGATTATTATCTAAAAACCCTAACACCCTCTCAACTATGCAATATGAAAACATACTTTATTATTTTAGGTTAAGGTTTATGCAATCTTGCAATTTGCAAGAACAAACAATAAGAGAGAAAAATTAAAAATTAGCAGATCAAAATAATGTTAGGAAGCCAGTCGTTCCTTAAGACCATATCAAGTCAGAAAGTGTTGTCGAGGCTGGTATTAAATTAGATTTAATTAGTACTGTGGGCCTTATGATCTCCTCCATCTCGACAAATTGATGTTGGATATCCTTTAATCGTTGTTTAGAGTACCTTGTATAGTTTGGTCTTTTGTAGTAGACTCCATAGTAGCTAGTTGCCCTTAATTTTTCTTCTCCGAGTGTAAGGAATCTGTCTTGAGAGATCATCACAGTAGCAGGGACTAATATCGAGAATCACTAGTTTGGGTGCCAGGTCATCAATGGACCGAGGGTAATGAAAATGCTGACAAATGACGAACTTGCAAAAAGAAGGTCAGAAGAAATAGTGAAATCAGGTATAAACCTTGGAGTATCAAACAATACAGCTGGAAGTTTCATAAAATAATGGATTTGGAGAAAACACAATAACTAATGAATGAATGCCCCAGAAATAGAACAACCTTAATAGGAAGAGCATGTTCAAAAATAACAAGTAAAATATTCTCAATTAATAGGAACCAGTTAAAATCAATAACAGAACTCATGACTACGCATGCACCAGTAAAAAGATACCTGAACAAAATAGGTGTTTATAAAAAAGATCTATGGTATCGACTGCATCACAAGGAACCAGAAACAGCTAAACACATACTTTGCGACTGCTGTTGAATTTTGGAAGGTATAAAAATACCTAACCTAATTAGAAAATTTATTGAGATCTAAGAAATATCCGAAAAGATAGAATAAGTGAGAAATTTGATTTGTTAAGTGTGAAGCAGGTTCCAAATATTAGATGTGAAATAGAGTGACTTAGTGCCAACCAAGAATAAACGAATGACCAGATGCAGTAAGCAATCAATCTTCAGTTCTTAAAGATATGGTTGTGAATAGAAAAAGTTGCCCTTTATGTGTTGAAAAACTGGAAAATCGAAGTCAAATAAAATCGACAAGATATCCGTTTTTAAAATTGTAGTAGGGTCAAACATCCATGGGAGTAGCTTCCGTTATATGGATCGTCCTTCAATATTATAAATAAAGTTAATTTGTTACCAAAAAAATTCAAAAAGGTGAATATGCATCTCAAATCACAATAAGCAAACCCTTCATTCGGAAGGATTTTACGAATATCTTCGAGAGGAGAATGCAAAAAATGTTTTCGTTTCTACCATCCTATAGAGTCCTATAGAGGGTAAGTATGTAGGTAAGTTTGGTTAAATCTATTTTGCGTTTATAAATCTGTGGTAGCTCCATGTATACCTAATTTTCTGATACCCTGTGTACTTACAAATGTTTAATAAATTGTGACCACAAGTCCATAACCCGTTCATGAGTTAAAATATCTTCTTTAGGAAATTGGTCCAGGTTATCAGCTGTTGTATTATGCCAAAAATATCCCAATTCTTCTTTGCTTCCAACATAAGTGGAACCTGAAATTTATTTAGTTTTAATTTTATTACTTATATGGGACTGTGTATGAGAATCGAGGCGCAGCAGAGTCAAGAAATCGTTCGATATGAACAAAGATTTAAACAATATTTTTTCTACAACTACTTTTTTAAAACAAAATTGTAAATAATTGAAATAACTGTAAAAGAAAATCATAATGCTTTTAATAAAATAATCTAAATACTTCTAATTTCAGTTGATTTTTTTGGTGAAACAATAAATATTTTTGAACTAGATGTTTCTTTAACTCTTGTGTATGTATACAATAAAAATTATAAAGAACAAGCAAAATATTTTGCGCACGGTATCATGGAAATGCAAATAAATTATGTATATAAAAAAATGTTTCAAACAAATTTTGCAAAAATTATCTATGGAAAGTGCTAAATGAACTTTATTTATATAATGGTAATAGCAAAAAATGTATTGATAAAATAGAATCAGAAAACGACAAAATTTAAACTAGTGCTTAACTTGTTTGTTAATTTTCATACCTTCAAGATCAGTATATTCATATCTTCCCAAGACTCCAACGTACGAGAATTGGTATAAATAAACGTCTGTGTATTGAGATTGCAAAAGAGCATGCTTGGCGATTGGTGTGCTAAATAAACCGTCACTCAGGAACTAGAACATGTTATGTTGTTAAAGCAAATATATTTTACAACAGAGTAAGTGGTGTGTGTAAGAAAAAAATATATTAAAATATTGAAATGTACACTGAGAAAAAATATGTTTTGTAGATAACAAACTGATTTATGTACTGGTCATATTTTTAATTTTAACGAGATTTATTTGTTTCTATTAATACAATGTCACTATATATAAAACTGTGATCTCAATAAAAATTAACAATTTATTTGTAATCAAACATTTAACTGTTAACAAATATACCTAATTTAATATTAATAAATTAATATAATATGTTTTTAATACTAACAAATCTTAATTATTGTTAACCATGAAATATTTGTTAAATAAGTAAAGACATTTTGACATTTAATTTCTAGGTTAATTTTTTTTTAGCTCTGAAATGGAAATTAAGTAAAATTGGCCCTGCCTTGTCATTCTTAACCCACGTCCAGACTCAGGTATTTGCTGGTTATAAATAATGATGTTTCAAAGGGCTTAAACATGAAGTTATAGAAAGTAACAAAGAATAACCAACATCGCTTTAATTAAAACGGAAAATACCACAAAGAGACTTTGAAATTGTTTTACACTAAAAAAAATCTTAAAATCTTAAAAAATGTTTGAATTGGTAAAAATACACAGCCAAAATTAATTAATATTCAAAGCTGCAATTGTCATTACCGATGTCAGTAGCAGCCAAAGTTCCTTTCATTTTATGAAATAAGGTAATCTTTGTAGTTTCCCGAAGATGACTTAAATGGCGAAAGCGCTCGAATTTAATTTAATAAACAAAGGAGATAATTTATTATATTCTCCTTTTATATACTTTAAACACAAATTCATTAATTTTTTCCTAAATATATTTTAAATCATTTACTTACACTAATGGAACCTAATGGAGTTGAAGCAAATGTAGAGTTAGTATATAATTTTTTTAATTCCTTTCCAGCTTCTTTTCTATTTACATCTGTCATCTCCAAGTTTGCAGCAACGGCAAGACTATCATTCGAGTCTACCAAATTAGTTTGAACCAGTAGCTTAGATACATCTAAAATACATGGTGTTAATGAAATGCATTTTATATAAAATGAAATACTCACTATAAATTAACATTTCTTCCGAATTAAAACCCATCAAAGTGGGCACTCGAGTTATATCTCCGTTTTTCAATTTCTCGTGGTTCATACCCGTCACAAAAGCATTTTCATCATTTTCTTCCTCTTCTACAGGACTCATAGGATACGAGGTCATTGGAAGACAGTTGGAGAAGTCTGGACGCCAACTTCTCGCAATCTTAAACATCAAATCTACATTTAATATCGTTTGAATAAAAATTGAGCTTAAGCTTAAAGTAACAGCTAGGTCATAATTAAAACCATTTACTTCTAGTTGCTAGGTTTTAATCTTGTTAGCTCCCAAAGAGGTAAACCCCGCTGACCACTATCACGGCGCACGGCGATTTATAATCTGGATGTAATATCAATAGAAATTAAATTACTGCAATACGGCACCCATCAAATCCCATATCAAATACTGCAAATTAATTTAAAATTCACATGGTTTGGTCTAGGATTCGAAGCCGAGTATCGCAGAACAACTAAATGGCCTGTAATTGAATAGCAACCGTCGACACACCTACGCAACCTCCGCAACCATTTAGTTTTTGGTAGATATATCGAATATAGTAGTACATAATTAAGATAATAACAAAAAATAGTTACCTGAAGTTTAATAGTTTCTGCTTTTAACTGTTCTAAATCTGCTGTTTTAATTATATTCAGAATCTCCTGCGATGTAAGGTCATTCTGGTTATTAGGTGTTAAAGCCTTGCCTAAAATAAATCAAGAAGCAAAAAGGTTAATTTTTTAAACTAAATATTTTCGAATGATTAAAAAATTATATTTTTATTAATTTTTAAAATGGAACCTACCTAAAGACTGAGCAAAATGTTTGGCATTCTTTTGGAGAGCCCAGCATGATAAAGGAGAGCCACTTTGCATAATGGCTGCTCTAAATAAACCTAAAAACAAATAATATAATAAGTTTTTTATAAAAAATATCACATATTATGTTTTCACTAAACTTTAATAAGAAACAATACAGAAAAATAAATTTATGAGAATCTATATTTAATTTTTTATAAACCAATGAGGATTCATATATTTTTTACAGATCCACCAATTTTTTGATAGATGATCTTTTTCACTTCTAGATCCCTCTAGATTATAAACTCGATATTTCTTGCTACTCTATTGTTCTCTATTTGTTATAAATACTACTGTATTGCTCTATCTTTTCCCTGGATACAAATATTTTATTGTCCATATTCATTTATGGTTGATTTTTGGTTCGTAATCAGTAATATTGTGCCTGAATTTAGTATTTGATCAATACACAGAATTTAAAAAAATTAATAAAAAAAATTATTTTGTTCCCTACTGCTCTTTGCAGGCAATTTTCTTAGTTCAACTATATTGTAGTTAACGAATTAAGTATAGTGTATTCAATATAAAATGCACATTGCACATCACTAATAACATCAATAACAAGCATTGAGACCACACACACCATTTTATTTGACAGTTAAACGAATAAATTCGTAAACATTCGGTATTAAAAATGTACGTTTTAGCATAATATCAACAGAATAATTTTGGTGAAGATCATTCTAAAAGTTGGCGATAAATTCAAAAACTGTCAATTTAAGAAAATTGTTCTCGAACTCGTCTTATGCTTAGCGAGTTCTTTTCAAAGAATTATTTGTATTTGAAAATAAAATCTTAACGAACTCTTGTTTTAACAATAATTTTGTTGTATATTTATTAGTGGTCGAGATGCAAGAAAAATGCAAAAAATCAAACAGAGACAAACAATAATGGTTTGCATACACAACCACAAAGAGCGTATATCAACCTACCTTAAATTCTAAGAAGATAACTCATATAGGCACAGAAAAAGATATGCAATCAGATACTAACCTATTATGCAGCGAACAACAGGAAATAACTATCCTAAAGAAATAAGGGACCTAATCTCTGCAAAAAGAAAACTAAGGAGGGCATGGCATCAAACCAGAGCTCCATCAGATAAAACCAAACTTAACAACGCCACCCAGCAGTTAAAAAGAGAGATAAAATGAATCAAAAATGAATCTATTTGTGAGTACCTTAGTGAGATGACAAATGATAAATCCACCGATTATTCTCTATGGAAAGCCACAAAGCGATTAAAAAGACCCACTGTGCAGAATGCTCTAATCAGGAATACAGATGGTAGCTGGGCTAGAAATAATATACAAAAAGTTAATAGATTCGCAGAACACTTAGAAAACACCTTCAAACCAAATGAAGGAGAAGAATTACCGAACTGGGCTCCTCTAGTGAGAGGTGACTCAATTATCAGACCAACCACTCCAAAGGAAATTGCAGAAGATATAAAAACAAATATTAATCCTAAGAAAGCTCCTGGCCAGGGGCGGTTTCTCCATTGGTTCATTTGTGCAGTGAACACCCAGTTCAATTTCATAAAGACACATTATTTTAAAACTACATAAATAACATAAAAATATAAATTTAATTTTAATATTTTTATTTTCATACGTGTTAATCTATATTTTTTGGTACATCATTGCTTTCTGGCTGATCGCGTCTCTGTGGCACAATATATCTAAGTAAACCTTGTCTGTGGCGCATTATGATGAGTGAGCCTAATACGAGTGAGACGATTTGACGAATACATATAGCTAAAAAGAGATGAAAACACGCCAACAGATCCTTCAAACTGTCAAAGAACAAATTAATTGGCGCGCCGCTCACAAACAAGTTTGCCAAACCAGTGTTGCCAGTCTAGTACAATTCACAATTGTACTAGATGTAGTACATTCTGCATGCATCAGTGTTCACGTGTAAAATATATGTATATATTGTGTTCCTTGTTTGGGTTCGTTATCAATAAAGATCCCCTTTTTTCCTCTTCAATGAATTTAGATGTCACTGCAAATAGAATTCGAAAAATCTGGTACATTTAAGGAATCTGGTACATTTTTTAGACAAATATGGTACATAACAAAAACATTCTGGCAACTATGTACCAAATCAAAGTACAAACTGTCAATGTCAATACTGTCATTCCATCTATTTTAATAAAATTAAGATTATTTTATTTGTGATTGTTTAAAAAATGTGTTTAATTGAGAACTGCAACTTTAATAAATTGGAAGGATGTGTGTTAATGTAATTATTGTTCAAGAAAAACTTTTAAGGCAAGGTAAATAAATAAAATATTTTAAGGTTATATTTTGTTTATTTACTTTATAATAAAGCAGTAATAAAGTTTTACGACTATAATTTGTTTTATATTTTGTTTCAGTATCTAGACCATCCAAAGACAATTTCAAAATGGTCTATTTTGTACACAATTGTAAATACTATGAAGTAAGAAGTAAACAAAAAATCTGTAAATTTTTTCCCACAAAATCTGCTAAAAGAAAAAATTTAATTATTCTGATGAGGTAACTATTTGACATCATTATGGAAATGTACAATAAAAATTTGATTAAGATAAAGAGACAAATAGTTTTCACTTTAAAAGTCTAAATCAGAAGAATGGATCAGCCAATTAATTTAATATACTCGATGAGAAATTTTACCTAAGAAATGGTATGTACATTTAAATAGTTTACCTATATAAAGTTATGTTTACAATTATCAATTGTGTTACCCTCTAACCAAGGTCGTTTGTTACATACAAACTAAAAATATTTTAATGATATTTTTTTATTGCCTTGTTTGTATAATTTAGTATTTTCAAAAATATTAAATGTTATGGTAATTAGAATCACTACAGGTATTAAATAAAAATAAGGGTATTGGTAAAGTAGTTTACAGTTGGTACTAAAGAATGTCTCGAAAAAAGTCTCGAAATAAGTATCAAACGTAAATTGTGATTTTGATTAGGCATTTAACAAGTCACATCCCACATCTACATGCTCTGGCTAATCAATCCTATAAGTACATATCAAAACATTAATATACTATCTATAATTAAACAATAATTTAAAAATACAGATGAAGCCGATTTACCTATTTAAACAAAATTGTTATTATTCTATTATTTATTAAAACACATTATTTTTTAGTAAACTTGGACATGCAAAAGCAGCCATGAGGGTAGGACATTAGTGAAAGCAAGAATACTTTGGAATGTTCTGTGAAATACACTTAGAAAGTGTCATATGGAGAATTAAGTGTGATAACATTTTACGATATGCATCTCACTAGTTTAGTTCATAGATTTCTATGTTCAATTATGTGCTGCTATTTCAAACTTTTAGTATCCTTTGATAAAAGAAGTTGAATATTATTGTTGACCTTTTTAAATTGTTTATTTTACCTCATACATTTTTTTCTACTCTTCATACAGTATTCTGTGAAGAGTATTATAGGTTTATTTTGTCTGTCTGTCCGATGTCAGGTTTTTTGTCTACACGATAATTCAAAAACGAGAAATGAAATCAACTTGAAAATTTTAAGCAAAAATCAAGCTCTATAAGAGGACAAAGCTTATTGATTTTTAACAAATCTGATTAAAAATAGGGGTTAAGATGGGTTGAAATTAAAAAATCCTAAATTAAAAACGAAAAGCGATATCAACATGAAATTTTTAGTAAAAATTAAGCTTTATAAGAAGATAAAGCCTATTGATACTGAAAAAAATATGAATATATGGGGGGGTTAAAATAAAAAAAAAACCTAACTGAAAAATGATATAAACTTGAAATGTTTAGCAAACATCAATCTCTAAAAGCAGATGAGGCCTATTGATTGTGAAAACAATCTGGTTGAAAATGGTGGTTAAGGGGGTCTGTTAAAGTACGAAGAGTATCCTCTAGAATGCCAGGCATTATATATCTTTATTCTAGTTTGTGTCTGTGTAATATGTATTGTGATGGGACCGGATGGGACTGATCTTATAAAATAAACATTTAAAACATTTTAGTTCTTATTTTATTTGCCAATAAAAGGTATTTAAAAAATATATTTTTTATTTGACATCTGTGACAAATTGTGAAAATGATTAAACTTACAATAAAAACTAAAATTTTCATATAAAATTTTTTACACAAAAATCAATGTAAAGTTTCTACGTTACCTGATATATATTTAAAAATAATCTCAAATTGTGAGGAAAAGTCAGTTTACTAACTAATAATGTTTAGATTGTTTTCAACGTATTAAAAAAAAAAACAAATATTACACTAACTAAAATATTCATTTATTAATAGTTGTAATGCTTGAAAACAGTATGATGTTGATAATAATAATTACACTTAATACAAACTCAGATAATAAAAAAACAGTGATATTGACTCTTGTACAAGGTTTTGATCCGAACTTACAAATGATAAAATTATTGGAAAAAGTGAACACCCATTTCAAATTACCACGAGCCGCCACTGCTCCTGGCTATGATTTAATTACAGGAGAAGTCTTAAAACAACTTCCGAAGAAAGCTATAATTAAACTTACACACCTGTTTAATGCCTCATTCAAACTAAGGTATGTCCCTAGATTGTGGAAAGTAGCTGAAGTCATTATGATCCCCAAACCAGGAAAACCTCCGAACGAAGTTTCGTCATATAGGCCAATATCTCTATTGCCTATAGTATCGAAACTATTTGAAAAAATACTAATAAAAAGACTAAAAACCATCATTGAAGAAAGAAAACTTATTCCAGATTACCAGTTCGGCTTTAGAGAAAACCATTCAACTATAGATCAGGTTCATAGAATCTCAAATGCTATTGAAAAAGCATTAGAAAACAAAGAAGTCTGTTCAGCCATCTTCCTCGATGTTGCGCAGGCTTTTGATAAAGTATGTCATGATGGCTTAAGACAACTGAATGTGCTACTTCCTCAGCCATACTCAGAGCTATTGGATTCATACATTTCAGATAGATTCTTTAGAGTAAAACAAGATGAAGCATACTCTGATTTGAAAGAAATTAAAGCAGGAGTACCACAGGGAAGCGTCCTGGGACTCACTTTGTATTTGTTATACACTTGTGACATACCCCAACTAGAACAAGACACAATAGCTACATTTGCAGATGATACTGCCATCCTAGCGATAGGCAAAGATCATAAAGAGGCTGCAAATAAACTGCAAACATCAGTTAATAAAATACATAAATGGACCAAAAGATGGCGTATTAAACTAAACGAAACCAAATCTGTTAATATTAATTTTATTAACAAAAATGGTCAAAGAATACCAATTAACATAAATAATGCTCAGGTCCCTTATGCTAACTCGGCAAAATATCTAGGTATAACATTAGATGCAAGACTTCGCTGGAAGGTCCATGTTAAAAAGAAAAGACAAGAGTTAGATATAAAATTCAAGAAAATGTACTGGTTACTTGGTAGGCATTCCAGCTTATCTACACATAACAAAATTCTATTATATAAACAAGTTCTCAAACCAATTTGGACCTATGGCATTCAGCTCTGGGGTTGTGCCAGCTACAGTAATATTCTAATAATCCAGAGATTCCAGAACAAAGTATTGAGGAACATTGACGATGCTCCTTGGTACATTAGAAACAGCGACCTTCATCGAGACCTTTAGATGAACACTGTTGACCAGACTATCACCAGATTCGCTAGGAGTCACGAACAACGGCTCCAACAACATGTGAACGTTGAGGCGATCCAGCTTCTTGACAACACGAACCTGACAAGAAGACTCAAGAGAGTGAAACCTTTTGAGTTAGCCAAGTGATTGTGTTAATAACAAAGCAAAGCATTGTGCGGTTTAGTGTTACACGTTAGTTTAGTGTAATTAAGTTATCAGACCCTAAGGTATACTAGCGAGTAGAACTTTAGTTTTTAAGATTGCAACCCTAGTTAAGTTAGGTTATAACAAAATTACTCATTGATCAACTCTTGATCAGATTGTAATATCAATAAACGCCCCTTTTGGAGTGTTTTTTTACAAACAAAAAAAAAGATACTAACTAGGAAAACCGAAAAACAGCAATTAAAATCATCTGACATCATATTACAACAAATTAAAAAAAATTGAGAAAGATGAATGAACGAATCTCCAAAGTGGAATAAGATGCTCAAGGAGCGATTACTAAATTAGGAAATAACTTTTAACATAATAATTTTAAAATGGAATACTAATAAACTGTTACAGCACGAACAAGAGCAACAATGCCAGACCTAAAACAAATAGATGTATATCTTATCTCTGAAACACATTTCACTGAAGAGTCATGCATCAAGTTTAAAAAATTTAAAGGATACAGAGTATATCACACCATATATCCGGATATCAAAAAAAAAAGAGAAAATATCGTCATAATAAAGAATGGACATAAGGTGTTATGTATCTCTCCTTACAATTGTGCCTTCAATCCAATAGAATTCAAAACAGTATTATATAAGACACATTGATCGGGATAGAAGACAATGAGAATGTAAAAACATGTGGTTTGAAGCATTTCAAAGCATTACCCCACAAATTAAGTTACACAGTGCAAGAGATAGTAAAAAATAAATGTTCAAATGGTATGAAAGGGAGCATATAATGGACAGATTATAATTGCTTCTGTTACATATCACCAAATAAAGAAGATTGTGACTTTAGTTCTGATGAATCTGATTGATGCAAGAACTTTTTTTAGCAATTAAATTTTATTTAAGTTTTAAACTATTGTCTTTATGGCAAATGTAATTATATTTACCTTGTGATTTTTTATTAAATACATGATATCCAACTGAAGCTGCTCCCGACTCTTGACCACCTATAGTTACTTTCGATGGGTCACCTCCAAAACTCGCTATATTTTTTTGTACCCATTTCAGTGCTAGATTTTGATCTTTAAGTCCAAGATTTCTAGGTATTACATCATCGTCTGTACTTAAGAACCCTACAAAAACAATTTTTTATGGAATTTAATGTGTGATGATCAGAGCCGAAGTTTTTCTAGAAATAATGTTCCTAACTTGAATGCGAAGTAATATACTTTTAAACAATACCTTTCATAATTTGGAAAAGTAAACTATTTTTGTTAATAGTTCGAATTTCCGGAATAATTAAAAAATCCAAATTTAAAAACATAATAATTTTTTTTTTGTTTAAATAATTAACATATGGAAATATGAAAATGTGTTTTAGAAAGTATGAATTTTTCTGACAAATATTTGGTCTTAAATTTTAATTTTTTTTACCTAGAGCCCCTTGTCTGAAGTTGACGGTTACAACTACAATGTTTTTGTCCATAAAATAATGGGGACCAAACGTATTTATAGCTCCAGACGAAACTGAAAATCCTCCTCCATGCATCCAGACGAATACGGGAAGTAATTCGTCATCACTTTGATCCTACAAAAATTAAAATGTTATTACAATTAATAAAAATAAAACAAATAAACCTTACCGCTGTAGAATATACATTCAAAACAAGACAGTCTTCGTTTTCCCTAGGATCAAATTGTTTCTGATTAAACTGATAACATATTTTTAAATTTTCTGTGGTATCTAATACTCCTTTCCATGGTAGAGCTGGCAAAGCTTCCTAAAAAAGAAATATTTTTGTATAAGGTTATAATGATAATAATAAGATATTAAATATATGAGAAGGTGTTTTTGATATACCTGGGACATTTTATGGTATCACCCTTTTTCATCTGAAACGAGGCGGCACTGCAGCACCAAAAGCTTATTTTACCACCAACTATTTGAAGGTCCTACTTCCAAACTTCTTGCCAATACACTTTCCTGGCTCGGTCATTACAGGCATGATAGACTGGACAAAGGAAAAATACAACTTATCTGTCTACGATTGGCGAAGCATCAAACACATTGTAGACGAACAAAATGAGACGGGTGATACCCAGCTTTTCCCTATTTAAATCGCCAGGACCTTATCCAACCTTACTTTAGTTGGCTTTGGAAGAGCTCACACCGCACCTAGTAGGTATATTCATATAGTCGTTGGCTATGAAGTATATACGCAAGAATGAGAGAGGTAAAAGAGGTTTTTAAACCCAAACCCTAAAGGATGACTTACACTGTCTTCCGGAAACATACCGGCCAATTAGCCTAACATCATTTTTCACGAAGACATTGAAAAGACTAATGCGAAAGGTACATAAGGGATGTGGTGATAACAACAAAACTAGTACATCCAAATCAACATGGATACACCATAGCATTCCCGGATGTAGGTGAGGGACCAAGGGGCCCTAGCTCTGGACCATCCAGCAAGAGTGGGCCTGCTATTAGTTCCACCTTCCACCAAATCACAAAAACCGGAGCTGTGAACTGTCTTGATAAGAAAATGTAATAAACTTTATATTTTAAATTATAGAAAGTACTGGCCTGTTTTTCCAACAACTTAGTAATGTACATTATATTTAGTTACAATAGCTGTGGAGTCACTGACCGACTGGCGAAAACTCGACACAAGCGCCAAAATTTGCGTTTTAACCCATTGGATTATGGCCATACCGAAGAAGTACAACTTAGCCCTTCTGAAAAATTCAGAACATAAACTTTATTGCCTGTTATTGGTTGGTTTATCGCTTCTCTTGACCAACGTCTATAAGCATATGAAGATATATAAAGTAAATTTAGTTTTTTTAGACATCTATCTTCAGATCAGCTTAAGGCCGCAGCAGAGCAACTCGTCAAGTCTTATTCAGATGACTTGGATATTACATTTATCGATGAACTTTGTAACCTTTGCCAATACATTGACAGATCAGGAGCCAAAATATATTAGCACTGAACGTTTTATGTACAATAAGCTTATTGTGAAAAAGGGTGTGCAGGACACTTTCCCAAACACTGAAATAGCTCTAAGGATATATCTAATTTTGATAATAAGAACCTGCAGTACCGTGCGCTCCTTCTCAAAACTGAAATTAATCGAAAACCCATTAAGGACATACATGAAGCCGGAACGGCTTGTAGAATTGGCAAGTATGAGAATCGAGTCAGATATACTGCGTAAATTGTAGTTTAGTGATATCATCAGCGATTTTGTAACACGAAAATTAAGGAAAGTACCTGACTTGTAATTATAATATTCGCCGATTTGTAATATTATTATGTGTTATTTGTTAGTTATGTTATACCGTTAACTATAATTTTTAAAGAAAAAATTAAATAATTTTAACTGGATTTCTCTGCATAAATAATGTTGTGTACGTTTCACTTCTTGTTTTTGTATTACATATTGCAACACTTTAAAACTATGGGTTTCCCACCAAAATTGGCTCTGGACATTTTAAATCTGGCCCTATACCCTAGGCAGATCTAGTGATTCATGCCCTTACCAAGTTTCTGGTTGGATACATAGATCCGTGGACAATAAAGAATTCGACTTAGGTGTTTTCATAGACACAGAAATTGCTTGTGACAAGACTACCTTCCCCAAGATAATGTTTCACATATGGTTAGTGGGTGGATACATAACATGCTCTCAAAGAGAGCAGTAAACATGTGTAGAAAATGTGAATATGAGAGGCTTAGATGCGAGGGATCCTATCACCTCATCAGCCGTCTCAATAATGACAATTTGTACACAATAGTGTATGTAGATATCCTGGTTATCTTGCAAACAGGGATCATACTCTGCGAAAGAATGCAAGTAGATCTCCAAATTATAGAACAGTGGTGTAAGGACCATTCACTGTCTATCAATACCAAGAAGACAGAAATGTTCCTTTAACATGAGAAGGAAGGAAATGGAACTAGAACCTCCAAAGCTCCTAAAAACAAAACTAAAATTTGCAACAGAGGTGCAGTACCTAGTTCTCACCTATGACAGCCTGTTAAAATGGAATTCATACATAGAAAATAGAATTAAAAAAGCATAAATTTTTTGTTAACAATGTCGCCGAACCGTGGGGCGCACCTCAGGGTCTCTCCCTGAGGTTCGTCACAGAGACTTAAACGGCCATCATAAGACTCATGCTAACATAAGATGCATTTGACTGGGTACCGAAAACAACAATTGACTAAAATAAACTAAAATACATTAAAAGAACCTCATATGTCTCAACCTAATCAGAGAAGAGAGAGAGAGATGTTGTGCGAGTAGCACGTGTTTGTGTGAGCTCCTGCAAAAGTGCCTAGTTGCCTGGTAAATCAGTGACCATTAATTCAAAATCATTTTGTAAGTGAACAAATAAGCCCTAAAGTTGATATCAGTGTTGTTTGATTTTGAAAAGTTGATCTTGGTGACGAGTAATTTGCATATACTTTTTCTGTCTTCGATTATTATTATTAAAGCTACAAACTATTGCTACCGGCTCGTTTAGTAGGTGCGATACTCAAATATGCCTGAGACAAGAAAAGGAAGCCAGACCAATTCGGATCATATTTTAAATGAAGAATTAATTACCAGAATTTGTGTAAAACAAGCATCTGTGATACAAACCGCCATAGAAAACAAATTGGATTTAAAATTTGAGAAATTTCAGACTATTCTAGACAATGTGGTTGGACAAATTGCAAAAAATGAAGAACAAATTCATAATGTAATTAATAAACAGGAATTTTTCGAGCAACGCCATAGGTTAAATAATCTGCTTACTTTGGTTTAAAAACATCTGATTCTGATATCAATCTCGAAGGTAAAGTTTTAAAATTATTTAAGGAAACCATGCATATTAATTTAACACCAGAAGATATTGAAATGTGCTTTAAATTAGGAAAAGTCAATAGTAACAATATTAACAGTCGACCCATTTTTGTGCGCTTTCTTTCATACAAATGTAGAAAACACATTTTTTCTGAGAAAAAGCTATTAAAGGGTACCGGAATAACCTTAAGAGAGGATTTAACAAAACCTACTGTAGAACTCCTAAATGCTGCTGTGAAAAAATATGGAAAAGACAAAGTGTGGACTCGGGATGGTCGTCTCTTCGCCCTTGTAAATAGTGTAAAAAAACGCATTGACTCATACGATTGCTTATGATTCATGAATCATGAATAGGGTTTTTGTTTTTTTTTTTTTTTTCTCATATCACTGCGACTATATACATTTAATTTTTGGAAAATTTCTATGTAGTAGGTATTTACCAGTTTCTCTTATCTGTTTTTTTTTTTTAGTGTTAAACTGATAAAAAATTTTTTAATCGATTGAAATTAATTCTGTTATTTACTTTATGGAACTTTACTTGCCAGGTGTTAAATCATGGGCGTAACAATTAAATATTTTTTATTGTTATTTGTTTTCTTGGGTTTGCCATTAGTTATAATTTTTGCCTTAAAATATTATTTGCAAGGGTCATTCATGCATGCATTTTTATATTTTTTATTTTTTTTTATTGAGTTATTGAATTGTTAATAAGATATAACTTGTTGAAATTTTGACTAAATATTTTCATGAAAAAATTTTCTTTTGCCTTTTTTAATGCACGATCACTATGTAATAAATTTGATGAATTTAAAACTTTTATTTTGCGCGAAAATTATGATGTTGTAGGAGTTGGAGAAACCTGGTTTAATCAAAATACTCTAGACCATATTATACACATACCGGAATACAATCTTGTAAGGAATGATAGAGTATTCAGAGGAGGGGGTACTGCTATCTACATTAGAGCTAATATTTTGCACACTGTTTTACATTTAAATTATAGGGATTCTGTTGAACAATTGTGGGTAAGTTTCAAAGTAGATAATCGTAAATTTGCTTTCGGAAATCTATACCGACCGCCAGATAAAAGTGTAAGTAGTTTTTTAATAGATTTTGAGGAAATTTTTGCCGACGTTTATACACAATTTGATGAAATTATTTGTGGTGGTGACGTAAACATTGATTTTTTAGATAGTACTTGTAATAATGTATTAAAATTTAATAATTGCATAGATTTATTTAATATGCAGCAAGTCATAAATGAACCTACAAGAATTACAGCAACTACTGAAAGCCTCATTGACATTATATTAATCTCAAATCAATATACATCTTTCAGTCACGGTAATAAGGAAATATATATATCATCAGATCACCAACTTGTTTATTGTATATTAGATTTTGAAATTGATGAAGGTGACGAAATAATTTATAGTAGAAATCTAAAAGGTGTTGACAGAAATATGTTACAAAATTTTTTGTATGTTACCCCCTTTGAAGAAATCTTCCATATGCAGGACATTAATGATAAAGTCTCGTATTTTAATCATTTATTAACTGGTTTATTTGATACAATCGCTCCCTTACGAGAAACGAGGCTAAAAAACCTAGACCTCCTTGGTTTACAGACAATATTAAATTACTATTAAAATTAAGAGATAATGCCCTTAGCAAGTATAAAAAAACAAAAAATCTGACACATTATGAATATTATAAACAATTAAAAAATTTTACTACGGTGGCTATTAGAAATGAAAAGAAAGGTTATCTAAAATATTGCGTTGATACATTTGGTAGAAACAGCCGTATTATGTGGCAAAAACTTAAGAATTTAAATATAAATTCTAAACCTGCAAAATCCAAGTTACCTGAAAACCTAAATGTTCCTAATGACATAAACAATCACTTTTTATTGGCAACTGGTAACTGTGCCGATGCTGACCAAGATTTACTTCTTTTCTATACTAATAATTTTAAAGACAACTTCCGTAACTTGCTAAGTTTTACAACAGTTAATCAAAATACTATCTATAAGTATTTAAACGAAATTAAAACGCAGGCTATAGGAATTGATGGATTGCAAATTAATATGCTCCTTATGTGTTGTCGGTATATTTTAATTTTCATTACGAATATTGTTAATTCCTGTATAAAGGAATCTTTTTTTCCAGGCCTTTGGAAAGTCACAAAAGTTTTCCCATTGCCTAAAAAGAACAATATTAGTAGCTTTAGTGAATTACGACCCATTTCAATCTTATCAGTGTTATCAAAAGTTCTGGAAAAAGTAATTAAATATCAGATAGAGTCTCACATCAACAATTACAATATTTTACCAATCAGCCAATCTGGTTTCAGACGTGGCTACAGCTGTACTTCAGCATTATTAGAGGTCACTGATGATATCTTTAGGGATATAGACAAAGGGTATACAAACGTTTTAATACTTCTAGATTATACAAAAGCCTTTGATACAATTAACCATCAGCTTCTGTTCAGTATTCTTCACTATGTTGGTTTTTCGGTTAAAGCAACTGAATTTATTAAAAACTATCTTTCCGATCGTTCACAGTTTGTTGAAACAAGTGCCGGTAGATCTGATATTAAAAATATTGCCTGCGGTGTGCCACAGGGCTCTATTTTGGGACCAATTTTGTTTTGCATTTACTCTACTAATATTAGTTCGGCTCTTACCAATGGCAGAGTTTATATATATGCTGATGATACGCAAATAAGGTTTTCTTTGTCTGATTTTAATGTTGCTCTTACTAATGAACTGATTAACTCAGAATTAATAAAAATCGTAAATTTTTCTAACAGACATCAGCTAACTATCAATCCCGCAAAAACACAAATACTCGTCTTTGGAAAAAATAAAAAAGAACTAGCAGAACATTTATCTGTGAGTATTGATGGTGTCTTGGTGGCTTGTGTAGATGTTGCCAAAAATCTGGGTCTTCATCTTGATACTGACTTAAAATTTAAAAGCCATGTAAATAATTGCATAAAAAGGGCTTACGCTAATTTGAAAATGCTTTACCCGCATCGCCATGTTTTAGATCAAAATATAAAAATACTTCTTTGTGATACTATGGTTCTCAGTCATTTTAATTACTGCGATGTCGTCTACGGGCCTTGTATTGACTATGTGGATATTAATCGTATTCAAAGAGTACAAAATTCTTGTCTTCGCTACATATATGGTATAAAAAAATACGAAAGGATAAGTCACAAACTAATTGAAACTAACTGGTTAAATATGGAAACTAGAAGGAATTTACACATGGTAACATTGTATCATAAGATCATTTCATTAAAGTCGCCTCCTTATCTCTATAATAAAATTACATTTCGAAGTGATGTGCATAATGTGCATACAAGGTTTAGAGGGCATATATCTCCACCTCTCCATCGTACCTCCAAATTTCAAGGTTCATTCTCTTATATGATATTTAAACTATATAACCTGGTTCCTCCTAAACTCAAACATCTTTCGACAAATATGTTTAAGCAAAAGTATAAACATCTCTTGATGTCAGAAAATATCTAGTCAAAACAACCATTAGATATTATAATAAAATGTAATATTACATTTATAAAATGTGTATTTATATTTTTGTCTCGATTGTGCCACACTTTATTCGTTGTATTTTATTATTTTAATATTTTTCTTTTCTTTATTAGGGATAGCAATTAATATCAGCTATGCTGTCTGCTATTCCCTTTTTGTAGTATTATACTATTTTGTTCGATAAAATTTATGTATTTAATGCAAATTTACCTGTAATACTGCAAATAAATTATTATTATTATTATTATTATTATTATTATTATTATTATTATTATTATTATTATTATTATTATTATTATTATTATTATTATTATTATTATTATTATTATTATTATTATTATTATTATTATTATTATTATTATTATTATTATTATTATTATTATTATTATTATTATTATTATTATTATTATTATTATTATTATTATTATTATTATTATTATTATTATTATTATTATTATTATTATTATTATTATTATTATTATTATTATTATTATTATATTCTTAGTCTCATTACTTTTAATATTTACATCAAGGAGGTTGCTCTTATGACAATCACACGACACTATACGGTTGAAATAGAACCTAATGTACGATCTTCAAAACTAAACATAAAAATGATCTGTGTGGCGTATTGCCAGTGTAGTTCAAACCAAGCTCCGGGGATTCTCATAACAGAATAAAAAATTTCCAGAAACAATACTACTGGAAGGAACACGCTCATCTATTCAGATAGCAGAAAAGCATTACTCAACCTGGACAAACTACGAATTTACTCAGAGATAGTAGGGTCCGATTACAGTAAGTAAGATGAACACGGCCACATCATCAATTGGCCAAGCAATTGGTTGGCTATCTCCGACTACTGTATATACTATAAAAATGTAGGAATATTATTCTTACATTCACAAATTCCTTATTTATAGATAGTTATATGTGATATATTGGAAATTCGAAATAATATTTATGACGTAGCAGTGTTCATCGTATTGTAATCGGACTTACTAGCCAAGAAGGCAGCCAACCAAATACTTTTTTGGATCTGGCCTTTCCTCTAGACTGACAAACATCAGTAGTGACAAACCTAATTAAAAACATTATCTTGTAAAATTCAAGGAAAAATGGGATGAAACAAGAATCTGTCGAGTTGCAAAGTAGCTTCTTAGTTATCCCAACAACACCAAAGCAAACAATTACTCACTATGGCTAGACAGAATCTGCGCCTAATTACAGGCATTCTAAATGATCATTTCCATTGCATATGCATAGCATGAGGTTGTCATAATCCGTATTCTTCAGGGGTGCAAACAAAAAAATAAGACTAGTCTTTAAGATTGCCCGACGCTCTCATTCATTAAATTTGTGTTAAGCGAGTTTTGGCTAACATCGGCTGCATATAACAGAAGCTCCTCACAGCGTCATTGTCAACTACATTAAATTTGTAGGCTGGTTGACGAGCTAAAAGGGGCCTATTAATTTAGAAGGATGTAAACTGGAACTTAGTGAGGCCTAAGTGCCGTGGGCAACCCACTCTCTACACGTTACAGATACAGATGATATAATAATTTTGCTTGGACCATGTTTATACTAAATTTGTCAGTTTCTATTACTATTTCACTATGAATTTTTTTTAATAATAAAAACATTTTTTTGATATGTAAATGAGTTACGTACCTTTAATCTTAGTTCTCCAATAGGTGGTTGAGCATAAGGAATATCTTCAAAAGCATAAAAATCGGTTTTTGCTTGTGTAACTATTAATTTCCCACGAACAGTGCCATCTGCTATTCTTACTTCTTTAAAATCAGATTTCTAAAATATTCAGAAAAAATATAACAAATAGGTATAGGGACAGAAAATTAGTTAATTACATATTATACAGGCTGGTGCATTTTATATACGTCGGTCTCTGCAGGGCAAAATGAATTAACATTTAAAAACTTGTTCTTAACTCTACAAACTAAAAGTATTTTAGACTATACAGGGAGATCTAACAATAAGGATTTATATCAAAATTATGTTTTTTAAACATCATATACGTGATGGTGTCATTTGATTCTACGGAAAAAAATAAACTACTTTCTGTATACCTAATTCTTTTAGTTTTTAAAATTATTAAAGTATTCTTAATTTGTAAGTTTAAACAACATAATGGAGTATGTCGTGGCTATTTAAAACACATCAACAATCATCTGCTATATGAGTAGCTAAAATATAAGATTATCGCATAAAATGCAATTTTTTCCATTATATCATACAGTGTGCTTCATTTAGTCTAATTGAATTCGACTTACATGTGAAGTACAACTGCATGGACATTTTCTACCTAGTATTTAAAAGTATATTATCAAAGAACCTAGATAATTTTCTACGCAAAAATCTTGGTAATTTTCTGCCATTTGGAAAAGCAGTAAAAAAATAGATACCAATAAGATGTCAACCTATTATCCCTCCCTACACATTTAAGGACCACATATGCAGTTGATCAAGAGTACGAAAAACGTGAGGATTTTCATCCGTATAGTAATGAAAAATATGGCGGCCGACGACTTCATTATTATGAAACGTGGACTCGTCTGAAAACAGAACATTACCAAAAAATCTGCATCTGGTATTACTTTATGCATGACCCATAAACAAATATCGATTCTTTGTTGAAAGTCCCTTTGATACAGTTTATTGGTGCAGCTTTATCTTTGTGTTGTTTTAATTATTCGACCAATACTTCTACTTATTCCAGTGTCTGTACTATTATCCCGATAACTTATGTGTGGGTTTTCTAACAGTGAGTCAATGATCCAAAATTCATTTTCATGATCTACAATAGGTTGAGGCTAAATATTTTTTTTATATTCTACGTTTCCGCTAACTTTGAATTGTTGTTGTAATCATTCAAAAGCACGTCTGTCAGGTTTCTCTCGATCTGTGTATTTTTGGCCGTAAATTCTTGAATGTAATTTAAAGTTTTCATGACACCCACCAAGAACAAGCGCCTTATCAATTTTCTTTGTTATAGAATAAGTTTTTATGTGTAAAATTCGATTTTTCCAATGTTTCATATTTAAATTTCTAAAAGAGAAACGTCAATCTCGCATTTGTATAAATATAATGGTCATTTTGACGGAAAAGAATATTAAGAAAAATTATGCATGTCAAATAATAAAAAATATCTATTTAGGAAAGAATCGTTGAATTTATGTATAGGGAAGTCTTATACAAAATAAAAGACAATTTAAATGTCCATTAGTTTAAGTTATTAAATATGGGGTGTTCTATTTTAAAATAAGAACATTATACAACTCCATCAAATATAGAAACGTATAAACACTTGCAGCAAGTTTATTTTTGGCTTGCAGCTAAAACTTTTGTATAGTATGTTCTTGAACGAACAATTATATTTTAAAAATATGGAAAAAGTTATGTTAAATTCATTTTTGTAAATCAAAATCAAATTATCCGAAAATGTTTTTTAAAACTTCATTCAGAGGTTCAATAACATAAGTTTGGTAGGTATAAATAAAACATGGATGTGTAATTCTCAAATTATTTTTTTTAAATCTGATATGATTACAACCTTTCAAAAAAATAATCCAAATGAATATTCAACGGAAGTTTGTATTCTTCATGTTTTCTCAATATTTTAAAAGATCGAAATAATTCAGTTTGAACAGTTAAAGTGTAAATAGAGTTATCCATAGTGTGAATTGAACTTGACTAAACGATCAGGATCGCAAACAGTGGCGGTTTTCCCGTAAAGGCACTTGGGCACGTGCCCTAGTATAATAAACAAAAAAAAAATAACTTATATATTTTATATTTTCCTCAATACCTATTATTATTTTATCTAATATTCAGTGCAAACCGCGTTGGCAAGACACTGGACGACCGGGCGTTGAGCGATGTTCCGAGAATTCCGAAATTAAGTGAGCACAGGGCACAGTAAACGTGTGCCTCTGTTGTTTTCTCTCCCATTATGAGGCGAAAAACAAGGACAACGACAATATCGCTTAGCAAGAGATAAACACATGCGATGGATTATACATCACAAGCGGGGTGCTATCCTCATTGTGACGTGCTGTACCCATGGCACAGATTACCTAGACCAGATACGAATGTACGCAGCGGCATCTCTACCGGCTCCCTCACAAAGGCGATGCCGGTTTCGGCTTAAGGTGCACGTTTGTTGGACCATGATAATAATTTATTTAATGTGATTACGAAAAAACGTTAGTTGGACCAATGGAATATTTAAGAAAAATAAAAAAAACTGCAAAAAAAATAACTTTTTTTTATAAATCAATCAAAAATATGTAATAATATTTAATAAATGGGACAAAATTTTAATTTTTCTTTTGGTTTTGTCTGACTTTTTCCAGGTTTTCAAATCTAAAAAATTCTGAGTCTTATAAATAATTTAATGGTGTACATTTTCGCAAATTGTTGGCAAGGATGACCAAATTCTATTTTGCTCATCTCAAAAAGGTATGCGTTGGAAATTCCAGGCTTAGTTGAAACTATCAAATAGAGATATAAATATTTTTTCTAATTTGAAAATATAAAAGAGAAATTTTTCGCTCGGAGATTTTAAATTGCCAAACACCTTTTCTTCAGAGTCGTATGCTTTAAAATGCGTTAACAAGTCAGAATTGTTAAGTAAATTGCATTCTTCTGAGAAATTTACGCAAATTTCGCAAGAGTGGATATGTAATGATTTTTTGATTAAATAGCCACATATATAGTTAAATGCATTTTGAGTGGTCATATTTAGCTCCCTTCAGAAATCGTTATTGCCCCAACTGATTGTTTTGAAATATATTTAATTTTCATTAAGCGGAGAACTTGTTTTTCTAAGGGAAAAACGAATCCCGGGATTCCTTTACAGTGTGCCCCACTGCCGTTAGTGCCCACGAGCCGCCACTGATCGCAAAGTCATTCTAAACAAAATGGCTATTGGCGATTCAAATTAATTTTCGCGCGCCTGTCATTTGTCACCTATAAGTAGGATGTTTGTTTATTTACATGTTTTTGTTTTGGGCGAATTTTGTATTTGTGATTTTTTTAACTGTTTTTAGATAATATTCTCATTGTAATAGTGTTTTTGAGTTTCATTTAGTGTTAATTTAAGTTTAAGTTTCGTGCTTTCGTCATAAATATAATATTTATCATGTGCATGACTTATTTGTTGGAAATATTCGCCTATTGATTGCTACAAAGACATCTAGAAATATGTATTTACTAAACCCAGGCCATGTTTTATTATGTGGTTTAAAGGACATTTCAGGTACCACATGTTTATTATTGATGAACTTATTTAAAAATCTTACTAGACTTTTTTTATATTACGAAGTGAATCATGTAGTACTTTTTCTACACCCGTATTATAATAATGCACTTATATGCCCATAATCCGTTTCATAATGATACCCATTATGATACAGATTTTTCATTACGATACAGATTTTTAATCAATAGAAACCTACAATTTTTCAATCAAGCATGCTGTTTGACGTTTGTCCTAGGTTCCTATGTAATTATTTTAGTTGTCAAAACGTATTAAATTTTCGTAGGTAGCTAAACTTCGATAATTATAATATTAAAATGTCTGATATTAGCGATATAGAAGACTCCTCCACACATATCGGAGAAAGCAGAAAATACAGTACAAAATATTTTACCGCAAAAATCTAGGGAAATACCAATACCTGAAGTAATACCATTAATTACAATTTTGTAGAATTTTTTATAGAAATACGAGTAATTACTGTTATTGTGTTCAATACCAATATAAATATAATATTTATAGGTCTTGATTATTTATCGGGTGTAGAAAAAATAGCGTATGCAACTCTCATGTAATGGTTATTAAAACACTCGCATAAACCATACGAAACTCGCCTTTGGCTCGTTTCGTATCCCGGTTAATGCTCGTGTATTAATAACCATCATTACATGATCGTTGCATAATATACTATTTTATACATGTAAATGGTAATAAAACCGTCACAAATCAGATTACAGTTTGATTCTAAACAAAGTTTTGTAAAATTTCAATATCGTGAATTTGTAGATATCTATTTATCGTAAAAACCAAAATTTTACGACTTGCACTTGGAAAATATTGAATACTTCAGTTTTGATTTTGACATTAACACCATATAGATTGCAACTTTCTGGGGACTTTTTCGCAGATTTCATTTTTAATATAAATACTATCACATACTATAAGAAATAAACAAATTTAAAGCTAAAAAGTAAGAAAGAACTCGAATTGTAATTGATACAAATTAAAATGTAAACAATGAACACGAACGCCAATGTTGCCAAGTGATGAACTGATTTTAAAACAAAATTAATAAATGAACTGAAATTATAAAAAAATCAATATAATAAATCGGTTTTATAAAAAAGTCAATATAATAAATCGGTTTTATAAAAAAATCCGTAAATAAATATTGACTATGATTACATATTACCACACACAAATTTTGATTTTCAAATAAAAGGTCTTATTGACAAGGGGGGTAGCCATGTGTGAGTTGAGGTAATTTTAAGGTGAAGGGTGAGAAAAAGTCCTTTATATCTCACAAGGAAAGCCAATGTTTAATTGTTTAACAAAACATTGAGTGCGACCGGTTTCGAAGTGTCATCACTTCATCTTCAGGCTCGCCTAGTGGAAAGGAGAATATGTGGTGTAAGGTGTGTTGGAAACAAAACGATATATAAAATAATAAAAAAGAGAAAACTCACCATACTCTCCATCCACTAGGGAATACTACAAAAACAAGTTTCATCAATTTTGGGTTGAAATAAATTGTAAA